TAAGTGTTGAATTGTATGGAAATAAATGATTGTTGATTGAGCATAAATACACCGAGTATTGTCCTTCCTTCAGCCCAAAGATTCAAAGAATTGGGAGATTTCAACACTCTCAACCCAAACGAATCATCCACATCTGGACGTTTTTTCCAAATACCGTGGATATCCACTCAAAATTCACTTATGTGTTGCTCATATAGTTTTCAGTTAGTTGGCTAAAAAAATATATAACTAAGAAGATAACTTCTGCTTTCACACCAGGAAATGTCTGAAGACACTTTAACTCTGACTGATCCTCCGGGAATCCGTGTGAGTCTTCGTGTGAAATGTGATGTAAACGTGGCCTTAGACATATTTGCTTCATCTCAGTCCTCTGGTCTATTTCTACAGGTTTGGATGCAGGTGTAACTGGTTGTCAGGTGTGCTGGTGTGGTACCTGTAGCAGCAGGTGGTATTTAAGGATCCTCTGAACAGGTTTGAGCAGGTATGAACCCAGAGGCAGCGAACGTTTAAGCGAGGACTGGCGGTCCCGGAAAAATTTGGCAAGAGATTTGTTCCTCATGCACTCAGTCAGCGCCGCCACCGAACTGCAACAGGAGAGAGGAGACAGACAAGTGTGGACAGGTCAATGTGAATGAGACAAGGTTTTTAAAATGTGCTCGAAACCTAACGTATGGGAAAGCAATACAGCTGCTGTAGGGCTTACTTTGGGTAGTTGGTGCAGTACTGTGTGTAGATGTCAAAGTACTCGCTCTGAAATACAACAAGCCAAGAGTTTTATCAGCCGCTGCTTGTACGAACCATCCTCACCCAAATCCAATCAGATCTGGTCTCACCTTGATGACGAAGCACCTGGCGATGGCGACGGGGTCGTTGTCACACTGGTCGAGATCCTGAAGCAGCTCGCTGTGAACAGGAAACACTGTCACCGTGGCGACCCCAACAACAACAACGCTTTGCATGTCACCAGGAGCAAACCAAAGGAAACCTGAAGTTTTTCTCTCGTTTCAGCAGTTTCCTTGGTTCTCACTTCAGAGTCTAAACCCTAACGCTCATTTTAATATTTCATGATGTTCTTCTGATGTTTTGGAGTTTTTACCTTTAACCATGAAGGCAGACAAGAAGGAGGGAGGAGAGCAGACGAATGACATGCAGTAAAAGTCTCTGTTACCTTCTACTCGAATGACTCGACTAACACTAAACCAAAGGCTGACATCATGGTGGTCATGGTTATTTTTATATATACGATCTGGTTTGTGTTACGGTGTTCGTCTGTGGCTGCACCGTTCAGGAGTGAAAATGGGTGAAACGGTTTGTTCATATTTAACCTGCTGAATCGTTCCTAAACATGAAGGCACTCAAAGTCACAGCAAACACAGCACTCCATGTTGTGCAGTAGAACAGCGCCGGTCTGCAAAGCAAACTCACCCCTCGACAGGAAACAGAGAGCGCTGACATGGGGGAGACGTAACATCAACGTTAACCGTTTTAGACAAAATATCGTGCTATGATAACGGACACATTAAACTTTATCTTCTTCACCTGTTGAACTCGTAGATGTCCTCGATGTTTCCAAAGAGAGCGCAGACCAGCTCAGGACGGATCGACAGATCCGACTGGTCGGACTGATCGATGATGTGAGCCAGGTAGTCCTGCAGGGTAGGAGGGAGAGGTTAGTAGAGTGGACGGAAGGAAGGAAGAAACAAGCAGGGAAGAAGAGGATAAGAGGAAGTGACAGAAAGGTCAGGGGTCCCTTTTTAAAAAGCTCAGCGTCAAATAAAACACCCTTTAAAATAAACTGGAATGTTTCCATTTCTCAAACAGGAGGCAGACTGAACGCTCACTGAGCTATACCACAGTAATCTGATTACTTCTGGCTTGATCAGAGATGCAGACTGTTTAACTCCTCTCTGGAGGGGAGAGGAAACAGGAGGGGGGAACAACTAAGCTGTAGTGCCTCTTCACTTCACTGTGCAATACCTTTTGTGCAATACTTTTGTTAATAGTCAATGGTGCAATAGACTCCA